AGAGGGGTCTAGGCCCGAAACATCAGCCTTCCTGCTCCTCTGATGCTGCTTGGCCTGCTGTGTTCATCCAGCTCTACACCTTGTTATCTCTAATATTTAGAAAATGTTTTCCTCACCTGTCTGGCCAAAACAAGAAGTGTGATGAAGAAGATAAAAAGAGAAATTACACCCATTGTCTTCAGATCCTTCAGCACACCAGGTCTAATGAAAGATAAGGAAATATAATTCTTAATACATTAAACAAATGATCAAAATGAACTTCCGGCACCAGATCAATGCATAATGATTAAAATAAAGCAGTAGCCAATATTGAATTATTGATTTTTAAACAATATTTATTCAATTTTTATGTACAATCTTCCTTTTTGCATCATATTGATACTTCGTCCATTTTTAAATGTAAAAGTAATTGCAAGTGAAAACATTTTGATCTGTTTCTATTAGTTATAACACCAAACATAAAATGATGGAAATCTTCATTAAAATTTCAAAGCTTTTCACATACACCACAAAAATATTTATTTGAAGGTATTTAAATTGATACAGTCATAATCATTGTTTCATAATATGTATGACTTTGACATTTACATTTTAAAATTCTTAATTTGTTCACTTTTTCTATCAATGAAATAATGTATATAATATGCAACAAAATAGTGACATCAGGTTTAATAACTTGGTGGAGCAGAAAAAGCTAAAGGGAGATGTAATATAAAATAACAAGGTGTAGAGCTGGATGAACGCAGCAGGCCAAGCAGCATCAGAGGAGCAGGAAGGCTGACATTTTGGGCCTAGACCCTTCTTAGATGTAAACTGTAGTTTTCAAAGTTTTATTGGGTGAAGGAATCAGGTTGGAGATTCAGTGATAAGGAAAATTGGGAAGTGATTTCAAGAGTAAGATGCAGGTCAGTGAGGGAACTGTGAGATTGTAAATGTATGTGCAGCTTTGTGACAGGGCAGAATTAAGACAGAAATTTTAATGGCAAAGTCGCTAACTACTAGAGGCAGAGAAAGATGCAGGATTGTGAGGAAAAACTAACACAGTGGAATCAGTTTTGAATTGCTCTAGCAAACAGCAAGAAGACAAATGATGGCTAAATGGCAATAACACAGTGTGGAGCTGGAAGAGCACAGCAGGCCAGGCAGCATCAGAGGAGCAGGAAAGTTGACGTTTTGGGTCAGGACCCTCCTCAGAAATGGGGGATGGGGAAGGGAGCTCTGAAATAAATAGAGAGAGGGGTGGGGCTGGGGAAGGTAAGTGGGATGGTGATAGGTGAGTACAGGTAGGCAGTGGTGGGGATTGGTCAGTGAGGTGGGAGGGGTGGATAGGTGGTAGAGAAGATGGAAAGGTTGTTTCAGGTCAAGGAGGCGGGGATGAGAGGAAGGGTTGGCCATGGGATGAGGCCAGGGGTGGGGAGATTTTGAAACTGGTAAAGTCCACATTGAGACCATTGGGTTGTAGGCTCCAAAGGCGGAATATGAGGTGCTACTCCTCCAGTTTAGGGTGGCATCATTGTGACACTGGAGGAGGCCTAGGATGGACATTTCACCCAGGGAGTGGGAGTGGGAGTTGAAATGGTTTGCGACCGGAAGGTGTTGTCGTTTGTTTCAAACAGAGCACAGGTGCTCTACAAAATGGTCTCCGAGCCTCCGTTTGGTCTCACCAATGTAGAGGAGGTCACATTGGGAGCAGTGGATGCAATAGACCACATTAGCGGATGTGCAGGTGAGCCTCTCTCTGATATGAAAGGTTTTTTTAGTTTCTTAGATGGAGGTGAGGGGGGAGGTATAGGGGCAGGTGTAGCACCTCCTGTGGTTGCAGGGAAAGGTGCCGGGGCTGCTGGGGCTAGAGGGGAATGTGGAGCGGACGAGGAAGTCCAGAGAGAGTGGTCCCTACAGAAGGTAGATAGGGGTGGGGAGGGAAATATATCTTTGGTTGTGGGGTCAGATTGCAGGTGGCGGAAGTGGCACAGAATGATATGTTGAATCCGGAGGTTAGTGGGGTGATAAGTGAGGGCAAGGGGGATTCTGTCTTTGTTTTTATTGCAGTGAGGGGATGTGAGGGCAGAGGTGTGGGAAACGCAAGAGATGCGGTCGAGAGCATTTTCGACCACTGAAGCGGGCAAGTTGCGGTCCTTGAAATAAGAGGACATCTGGGATTTTCGGGAGTGGAACGCCCCATCTTGGGAGCAAACGTGGTGGAGGCAGGGGATTGGGAGTAGGGGCTCGCATTCTTGCAGGAAGTTGGGTGAGAGGAGGTGTAGTCTAGCTAAATGGCTCCTTCTTTGCAGTAAACTTCCATCGTTAAATGATTCACACATATGATAAACAGGAAAACTTCAACACTCTACTATAGCCTTAAACAGAATTTACCTCTCCATCTTTTCAGTTGTGTATAGCATTTTGCTATAGTCATCAAAGAGCGAGGAATGGGTTTGCAGAAGAATTACATTGTAAACTACCACAGCAATCAGCATCATAACCATCTTCAGCTCATAGTTGACACGCAGGAACACAGAGCATGACATCAATCCCAAAATACAGCTGTATAGAAAATACTGTGATAGAAAAATAATACATTGAAACCTATCATAATAAAGTCCATTAAAAGTCACTTTTCTTCAATAAAACAGTGACATTCACAATGTTGGCTTTGACTTTAATAAAGTCTCTTAAACTGTGAGGTCTGTAAAACATCAAGATTGGTGCTACAATGCTAAGATTATTTGGGTACAGTCCAATATAAAATAAGAAGTATCATAATATCCTTCCATAATTAGCATTGTGCTAAACCCAATTAAATGGGAGACCCTGACAGAAGAAGAAAAATAATTTCTTTTTACCAAACCTTAGTTAGAAATTACCTGGCATACAGCCTCAAATTATGATCCCCTTACATGGTGTGAAATAGAGATTCTGGAAAATGTTCAGAGGAAAGTCAACAGATCAGTCCTAACCTTGACTTTAATTTTGCCAGGGCTCCTTGATGATACAGTCAGTCAAATAAAACACCGGCAACAAAGATACTCATAAAGCAGTGAGGACATTAACAAATCAATGAAACAACATACACTCGCAAACTAGTTAATGTTGAATTGGTCGCCAATGAATTAATACATTTATACAGCTGCAATCACACCAACAAGTCATTAAAGTAATGGAAAAGCTGCAACAATGAAGTGATGAATTAAAGTGTCTGCCGGCTTTGATCAACAGATCAAACGGAGGATGAAGGAGCCAATGCACTAACAAATGAATCAGCACACCAAAAATCAAAAAAATCAGAGCATCAGGCAGCAGTGAATCACGATGCAACAAGTAATTAAACTAATGGAATAGAGATAAGTTTTGATGTATATCAATGTAGAAGTAAGTATTAACATGGGTAAGAGAAGTGCAGGTAAACCACTGCATGAATGCATTAATGGAAAATGGATGGTCAGAAACTAATGAACTCAGAATGGTGAACATACTGTCAAATCATGTATTATTTAATGGAGTCACGTGCACTGGTAATTAAGTAGTGGAACAAAATATGCATCAAAACATCAATAAACTAATGGAGCAACAAACACTAGCAAATTAATGTTTCCCTTGATTTGGCAACAAAAACAGAAATAGCTGGAGACAGGTCTAGCAGTATCTGTGGAGAAAAAGCAGATTCAAAATTTTGGGTCCAGTGGTCCTTCTTCAGAAGCTTTTGTGATCCAAATTATGGAACTGCTGCCTCTTGCAAAGTCATAGAGTCATACAGTAAGAAATCAGACCCTTCAGTCCAACCAGTCCATGCCAAACATAATCCCAAACTAAACTTGTCCCACCTGCCTGCTCCTGGCCCAAATGCCTCCAAACCTTTTCTATTCATGTACGTATCCAAATGTCTTTTAAACATTGTAATTGTACCCACATTCACCACTTCCCTGGAAGTTCATTCCACACATGAACCATTGGTTTAACCTGTTGTTTGCTTTTCAAGTACTGTGAAGAGTTTTAATTGAAGTGACATCAGTAAAAGTAAGTTAAGGAAATTCCAAAAATCTAATACTAAACTAAGAAAGTGCTTAGTTTGCAAGTCATTCAGGCAATTATTGTTTAGCATGAGTTATATAATCATTGCGAATCCTGTGATGAAAGGGCCAACATATCTGACCTGTAAATAATTAGCCACCATCACATAGGATGACAATTCACATACTAAAGATATAATGACATACAACAATTATGCAACTGTGACAAAGGATATATTTCACCTGTGGCAACAGACAGCACCCCCAGCGTGAAGCTACACAGCCAGGTCGTGGTAACTGTATAAATGCTAGGTTTGGTTGTGCATATATATTTGAGTGCTGACAGTGTAGGAGCAGAGTACTGTGTGGGTTTGTCTTCAAGCATGACAGGTGCCGGTAAAGGTAAACCATCGCCTTGATTAGTAGCAGGTAGCTATCTGAAAATCTCTCAAGGCATTTTATACTTAATTATCATGGATTCTACAACAAAAATAATATATGCATGTCTTGGTAGGGTGCACTGGTGCATAATCAACTACATATCACATCTGATAATAACAGATACAATTTCTTGAGGTACACCAAAAATACTGAATATGGTGGTCAATGTGCTACCAAATTTTGCACTTGTGGTATCTTTGACTTGTAACGAAAAGAACTTTGTGAAGTATTCAGGCACCAGACTGTAATTGTGTTCTTGGATGTAAAACCCTACAGAGCGGAAAGAGGCCATTCGGCCCATCGAGTCCACATCGACCCTCCAAACGGCAATTGGATTTCTTGCACACTTTATTCCAATGTCCTCTTACAGAATAAAACTTGTATATGTCATGAAATGCTGAACAGTGTCTGCTGGCTGAGATAGGCCACATTTACAAGATTTGGATGCTTTGCTGTATATGTTCATGACTGAGTCAAGTACTGAAGATGTTTCTGGTTACCTACAATTGCTTCAAACTTGTGTCCTTCTTCTAGCAGTGCATTGCAGTACATTCTTTGGGTTTGTCCATAGTGCTTATCTAAAGATTTGGTGGGTGGAAAGGTAATGACCCGTTCCACAGGCTGTTAGCTTTGGTGAAATTGCACTCTGTACATTTGCATCAGCATGTGAATACAAAGTGCACAGTTGTTTCACCTGACTGTTATCGATATTGTATGAACTCGAGCCTGTGTGTACAGAAATTGACTTGTACTTTAAATTGATATTCTAAAAGTTAGGATCTTTGCAGCCATCATTAAAGTTACTGGAGGATGTGACTTTTCTGAATCCTTAATATTCCAAAACAATAAAGGAGTTTGACTGTCTGGCTTTCTACATCAACTATTTGTTGACTAGGAAGTACAGATGGATTCTTTTTTAAATAGCTGAAATTTTGATAGAAAGTCGATACAGTGCCAAACCATGCTCAGACGTTTGCTTCCCATTTTTATTGTACTCTTTAAAAATGTCACAATGAAACTCTACATTGCAATGTAGTGCTGCTTCTGTCTTTTTAAAAAAATGTTTGCATTTTCCCTTTTCTTCTTTTTTCTTCTTGTAGGTACTTTAAAAGTAACAGGTTTATGTTTTAATGTGGCATTTGTTCCTAATAAGAGAGTGTGATGACAAAACGCACACATTATTTTGTTTGTCAGCCGCTTCTAGGAAGCAAGATGGCAGAATCGAGGGATGCCTGGATACAGGTAAATCTTTTGGATACAGACCACTTCTATTGCAGTGTTATTTCCTGTATTTTATTCCAGGATCATGGTAGCATTTTAGATCTGTCCTTTAGCACTTCTAAATTGCTATTTTATTAAACATAGATAACCTGTGTCTTACTTTTAAAGAGAGTGAGAACTTTCACAACAGTTCCTCTGCTGTAGCTTCTGTGCCACAATACAGGTTGTAGCACTTTAGTTCGAGCTGAGGTAGATGACAAAGAATGACTGTTAGGAAAAGAAGTCTTCAGAACTGTCACTGTTGGTATTATCTTTTCGGTGTTTAGAACCACTGGCTGTCACCATTAGCTTTTAGTACCTTTTGGTGGCTTCTTGTGATCAAACACCATTCTTGATAAGCTCTGGTCTGAATGTTGCTCTGTTAGCTCATGTAACATGTATCATATATGGTGCTTATGAAGACAGATGTCTTGAAGAGTAGTAACAAAACAAATAATTTACATTGCTGTAACAAAGACATATTTAGTTTGGATTTCAAACTGACTGATGTTATTGTATATTCCATACACAAAGCTGCAGATCCCTGGCCATGAATTGGCTGAATGGTTCACATGCTAATGACAAATTGGGCAAGAGTCTTGCTAAATAGTTGACAAATTCAATAAATTGTTGGCAACATTCAACAAGTCTTTGCACTGCTTTTACATATGTTGGTTCAGGATGGCACAGTGGCTAGCACTGCTGCCTCGCAGAGCCAGGGACCCAGGTTTGATTCCAGCCTTGGGTGACTTGTCTGTATGAAGTTTGCACATTCTCCGCGTATCTGTGTGGGTTTCCTGCGAGTGTTCCAGTTTCCTCCCGCGGTCCAAAGATCTTCAGGTTAAGTGGACTGAGCATGCTAAATTGCCCATAGTGTTCCGGGATGTGTAGGTTAATTGATTAGCCATGGGAAATGCAGTGTTATAGGGTAGGGGTCTAGGTGGGATGCTCTTCAGAAGGGTGGTGTGGACTCGATGGGCCAAATGGCCTTTTTCTACACTGTTGGGATTCTATGGTCATTGGATTGCTGTTAAGAGTTCTCAACATTTCAGGATCTGAGAGAATATGTCTTGCTGTCTGTTTTGCCTCTATACTTGATTCTGGACTTGTTTAATTGTACATTTTTCTTATTCAGCTTCAGGGTCATTTAGTGAAAGTGATCTAGCAGTTGCACTAGATTTTGATCATGGTCGGTAATGACTTCTTCCATTGTGTCTCATAATCTAATAGATCATTCCCTTTGGCTTCAACTCCAGGAAGATCATTACCTTTCTCATTTTGTCTGCATAGACATTCTTCTGTAGCTATGGATGTATCAAACAATATGCACAAATATTGGTATCTCATGAACAGCATCCAGAATGTTGTTTGAAAATGCTTGCAATCATCCAGCTGTACCTGTTTACATGTAGGAGAGTGAAGAAATTTACCTTTCAAGTTGTGGTGAATATCCTTTCATGGTTGGCATAGGGAAGTACAATCTCTTTAGAGCTTTTTGCGTTGCTTTGGGTTGATGTATGCCCTAAGCTTTCCAGGTTTCACTGCCAGCATACTGATGATCGGTTCTGTTTGAGTTATCACTTCCTTGATTATTTCTTTCTTTTCTAACTCTTCTACCTCTTCTTTATGGCTGAATTAAATGCATCGAGTGCTTCTTGGCTGATGCTGAATTTGTCTTACCCTCTCATCTACTTCAAGATGATACTCGTTTGGAGGACAACCTAACCATGTAAACACATCATTGCACTCCTCCTGGATCTGTTCCATCATCAATGGTTTTGTGTTCTCAGACAAATCTCTTTCAGCACACTGAGAATGATCAGTTCAAGCTTCATAATTTCTCCAGCTGAGATAACTGTCTTTGTTTGCCATCTATAAACTGTAACCCCAGATCTTCATTCATGTTGTTGCATTGGATTTGCAGAATAAGCTGCTGTCTCAGTGTGAGGTTTGCCCAACTAAGTTTCTGCACTCGCTACAGCACAGAAACAGTCTTTATCAAAGACAAACGACATACAAGTGTGATGCAAGTAAATATCCTTCTCTGTCCTATATGACATATTTGACCACAATATCCTCCTCCAACTCTTCTCTATTATTATCCATATAGATGCAGAACTGTAGGTACCAGTTCTCAGAAAGGGTCACAGGACCCGAAACATTAACTTTGATTTCTCTCCACAGATGCTGCCAGACCTGCTGAGCTTTGCCAGCAATTTCTGTCTTTTTTTCTGATTTCCAGCATCCGCAGTTCTTTCGGTTTTTATGTAGGCACCAGGTCCCATTCTTATTAATCCAGCATATCTAGAGAATCATGTGCAGGGGTTTCCTTTCTCATTTGGAAACGTTACCTCAGACGGTCCCTTTGCCTATGTCTTATTTATCTTTACATGTTCCACCTGGATAGGGGTGGCATGGTGGCTCAGTGGTTAGGACTGCTGCCTCACAGTGCCAGGAATCTGGGTTCGATTTAAGCCTTGTGCAACTGTCTGTGCGGAGTTTGCACATTCTTCCCGTGTCTGTGTGGGTTTCCTCCAGGTGCTCCAGTTTCCTTCCACGGTCCAAAGATGTGCAGGTTAGATGAATTGGCCATGGTAAATTGTCCATGGTGTCCAGGGATGTGCAGGCTAGGTGGGTAGCCATGGTAAATATGGGGTTACAGGGATAAGGTGGGATGCTCTTCTGAGGGTCAGTGTGGACTCTCTGGGCCGAATGGCCTCTTTCGGCTTTGTACAAATTCTACAGCCTCTAGATTTTGACATCTTCCAAAAACACAGTGTCAATTTCAACATGCAAGATAATGACACCTAGCTCCAGCTCACAAATGGCTTCAATGGTTACAGTCTTTTAACTAGAAACTTAGCATACATACGTAAGGTAATTCATAAGGGAGAGAGCTGTCAAATGTAATTATACTTACTGGCAAGAAAAAATAATCATTATGCACAAACCACAGAGCCTTCCCATTTGTAAATTGAAAACTTGTATTTGTGCTGTTAACAGAAGGTACCACAGCATTCTTCAAGAAGAACTGAAGGAAAAACATGACAAAGTAATTACTAACTGCACATAAAAACAGAAGCTTTCATTTCGAGTACTAACATCTCTTAAGATCATGGATGTAAAACATCTTTTCTTAGCCTACATGCATTTTATTGTGGGAAGATAGGAAACAGCAAAACAGTTTTGTGAATGATCATTGCTCAACCAGAAATTCAGTGAATATATATTTAAACATTTGTCAACATGATAAACTTAGTTTTTGTGATTGTTATTATCCATATACTTACTGCAGTTGCATAAAGGCTTAAGGCATGGTTGGGTAGTGTTTCACATTGCAAGATCAGAACATCATCGACATAACATACAAACTATATGGTCATTTGACTGTTTGGTACTCATGGTTATTAATGGTGAAAATAGATTTTGTTTTGCGACAAATTTAAAAAATACAAAGTGGGGTTAAAAATCACTCAGATAGCAAGAACTGCAGATGCTGGAGTCAGAGACAACACAGTGTGGAGCTGGAGGTACACAGCAGGCCAAGCAGCATCAGAGGAGCAGGAAAGTTTCCCACTTCCATCAGACTAAGGGGGTGGCCATGGGCACCCACATGTGCCCAAGCTATGCCCGCCTCTTCGAAGGATATGTGGAACAGTCCCTTTTTTGCTGTTACACCAGCACTATCCCCCACCTCTTCCTCCGCTACATCAATGACAGTATTGGCGCTGCCTCATGCTCTCACGAGGAGCTTGAATAGTTCATCAACTTTACTAACACCTTTCACCTCAACCTCAAATTCACCTGGACCGTCTCCAATACCTCCCTCTCCTTCATAGACCTCTCCGTCTCCATCTCTGGTAACTGCCTCAAAACCGACATCTATTTCAAGTCTCAGCTACTTGGACTACATCTCCTCTCACCCACCTTCCTGCAAGAATGAGATCCCCTAGCCCCAATTTCTCTGTCTCTACCTCAACATGGGGTGTTCCACTCCCGACGTCCTCCTATTTCAACGACCGTAACGTCCCCCCTCCGGTGATCAAAAATGCCCTCAACTAGATCTCTTGCGTTTCCCGCACTTCTGCCCTCACACCCCTTCCCCCAAACAAAAATAAAGACAGAATTCCCCCTTGTCCTCACATATCATCCCACCAATCTCCGCATCCAATGTATCATTCTCCATCACTTCCGCCACCTACAATCCGACCCCACAATCAAAGAGATATTTCCCTCCCCACTTCTTTCTGCCTTTCATAGGGACTGCTCTCTCCACGACTCCCTCGTCCAATCCACACTCCCCACTAGCCCCACCACCTTTCCCTGCAACCGAAGGGAGTGCTACACATGCCCCTACACCTACCCCCTCATCTCCATTCAAGGCACAAAACAAACCTTTCATATCAGACATGGGTTCACCTGTACATCCGCCAACTTGGTCTACTGTATCCACTGCTTTCAATGTGGCCTCCTCTACATTGGTGAGACCAAACGTAGACTTGGAGACTGTTTTGTAGAGCATCTGCGCTCTGTACGTGACAAATGACAATACCTTCTAGTCGCGAACCACTTCAACTCCCCCTCCCACTCCCTGGGTGACATGTCTATCCTGGGCCTCTCCAGTGTCACAATGACACCACACACAAACTGGAGGAGCAACACCTCATATTCCGCCTTGGGAGCTTACAGCCCAATGGTCTAAACATGGAATTCACCAGTTTTAAAATCTCCCCACGTCCGGCCTTATCCCATGTCCAACCCTTCCTCTCATCCCGCCTCCTTGACCTGGTACAACCTGTCCATCTTCTCATCCATCTATCTGCCCCACCCAATCCAGTGACCAATCCCCACCACTCCCTACCTGCACTCACCTATCACCATCCCATCTACTTTAACCAGCTCCCTTCCCCCTCCCCATTTCTGAAGAAGGGTCCCGATCCAAAATCTCAACTTTCCTGCTCCTCTGATGCTGCCTGGCCTGCTATGTTCCTCCAGCTCCACACTGTGTTGTCTCTATAAATAAAATGTGTTTTCTTCAAATAAAATAATGCTTAGATTAGTCACTGTTTTAGTTTTTGAAAGAACAAAGTAATTACAATACAAATAAAGTTAAAACCTGAACAAGTTTTCCCTTGTGTTTCACAATTTCATTGACATGTTTGAAGTTATTTCTAAGTTAGTGGATGTTATCAAGGATAGGCAAAATATTGATGTTTAGAAGATTTTTGATTAAGACTTGGAATGAAAGCCTATGAAACAGATTGCTTGTAGACAGACAGTCAGTAGTTATTAACAGCTGCAGCTCTTTGTGGGGGTCAGTCACTTTTGGAAACCTGGACAAATTTGAATTAGGGCTATTGTTTTTCACCGTCTAGTGATTGTTGCATGGTGTCCATTCATCTGTTGTCATGGGAACACCACCCACCATGTTCATGGCAGATACTCATGTGACTCAGTCAAAGCTCCTTTTAACACATGCTGCAGGCAAGGATGTCCCAAGGCACGGTATGTTGGTAAGACCATGCAGACGCTATGACAATGGATGAATGGACACCGCACAACAATCACCAGACAGGAATGTTCCCTCTCAGTCAGGGAACACTACAGCGATCAAGTGCATTCAGTCTCTGATCTTTGGATAAGTGTCCTCGAAGGCAGACTCCGGGATACACAATAATGCAGAACTGCTGAGCAGAGACTGATAGCCAAGTTTCGTACCTATGAAGACAGTCTCAACAATGATCTTGGGCTCATGTTGCACTACAAGTGACCCCAGTACACTGTTCTGCATTTGTAAAATCTTCCTTACTTTCCTGTTTTGACAGCATCACCTTGATAAATTATGATGTCTCTTATTTAGTTTGTAGTTTTGAATTACTTATTACACTCACACACATACTCGCACACGCACTCTCTCTCACACAAACACACACACACCCCCTCTCTCGCACACACTCGATCACACACATATACTTTCTCAAACTCACATATATTCTCTCTTAAGCACACACATACACATATAAATCTATGGGGTGAAGCATTTCATCCAAGATGTTTGTCTATTTGCAGATACATTCTACTTTGTTCAAAAAAAAGACACACAATTCGTAGTCATAGTCAGTCAGTGTGGCATCTTATAAATTCCAGCTTTCAGAAAAAATACCAGCCTGATTCCAGGTTAAAACTCTGAGACAGATTTTGAACAAAGCCTCACACCTATAATTCAGTGTCTGACCCGAGGTGTCACCTTTTGTATATTCCTATGGCTCTGCCTGATTGTCATGACAGCACAGCACAGACATGGACTTTATAAACACTTCACACACCATCTAACACTCTTGGTCATCAGCGGAGACTTATCATTTGGCACTCCTCTCACACCAGTTGTATGATCTTTTGATCTCTCTGCCCTTGATCTCTCTGCCTATAAACTCTGTATCTGTGTGCCCTGCTCTCTCACGGCACCTGACAAAGGGGCTACGCTCCAAAAGCTTTTGTGATTCCAAATAAGCTATAACTTGGTGTTGGACTATAACTTGGTGTCGTGTGACTTGTGACTTTGTCTACCATTAATGTAGCATGACTACATTACGCAAAGTACTGTTTCTATTGGATAAGATATTTGAAAAACCTTTGCTTAGCTTCTGCTATCATATTTTCTGTTGTTACCCTTCTTTTGAAGTGGAAAAAAAGAATCTGCACCTGCTCCCTTCATTGATTAATAAGCACTCAGTTTTGAAATGGAAACAAGACATCATTGCATTCTGTTGGTCTCAAGCAACATAAACTTCTGTCATATCTGCGGCCATTATAAACGCCTGGCTAAGTTTCATAGTAGATAATGGCTTCATCTGAACATCTCATCTATTGATTCAAGAACTATGAAAACATGTATAATACTGCATTAACAAAGTATGTTTTTAATGTGGTTGCTTGATTGTTTACAAACCCAACTATTATTTAAAGGATTATTTTTATTTTTCCATTACTTACGAGAATTAATTTCCCATTAATTCCCTATTGCAGGGCCTCTGAAAACTGTATTTGGAGCTAATTGGGTGACTGACTATGGACAATACATGGACAGCAGAGAAGTGGCATGGAATGGAATTGGGTTGATGGGACAGATGAGGAAGCATGGGAGATTTGAAGGGATATTGGGTGACCTGGGGATGACTTTAAAGCACATATAAGCAATTGTGAGATCAGGGATGCTGCATTCGAAACAAAGGTGGGCCTTCTAATTGGCCTCCTTCACCCCATCACTATTCATCCATTCCAGCATGGCTTGTAAAATGCATCATGAACTGTTCCCTGCAAAAAGACAAAAATCTTAGGTAAACTTACATCTGGATAATTAAAATCCACCCCCAACTGGCTGTTGTGAAGCTACAGGACTGACTGTGACTGGAAAAGGGTCATGCAGGATAGGTATCGATCCATAGCCAAAAGCACCATGGCTTCAACGTTGAGGGGGAGGTGGGGGAGTAGCGCGTGTATGATCACATCTGGCATGGTCACCTCGCATGTCAGGGGTGGGGGGAAATCACTGGCTGGTGCAGGCTCATGTTAATGGGTTGGGTGGGGACCTGGGGAGAGCAAATCCAATGTGATTTATGGAAGGGCCGACAGGAAAGGGATTTGAAAGTTCAGGGGCTCATTGACATAGAGAGACAGAGGCTTGAAGCCACTGGCTGAAGAGTACTCATTGTCACCTTCCATCGTCCTATAGATATTAACCTAAAATTTGAAGAGTTAGCTGAAACAAAATTAAATTAAGTTAAAAGAAATGAGAGAGAGAATTCATCTGAGGTTTGGTGATGACTTAATGATTAGAAAGGTCACAGGTTTTAAAGTATTTCTGTGTTTTGCTGAAGGAATATGTTTGTTTACATCAAGTATTGTAACTCAGCAGTAATGGACAGAACTCTCTCAGTAAGTCTGGAAAAGCTGAAATTTCGTTTAAAGCAGACACAGTGAAACATCTGTTACCAGATGGCATCAGAGTAGGATGCTCCAGCCGGCGCTCGT